GCAGGAATTCTCGGGACGGTCGGAAAATTACGCGCCACGGGCGACGGATGTGTCCCGAGTAACGCCTCTCTTTCACGGAGAGAACAGATGTTACTTTGCTCGCGATCCTTTCGTGAGCCGGGAGGCACGCTTTCCTACAAAATTGATTTGCCGCGTGTAATAAAACTATTTCACGGTAGCATGTACGCGTGATTAAGGATAATCTATGGAATATAACTTGAAAAATTGTTGAAAATAATTCCGCGTAAAATTACGTAAAATAATTTTTACGTAAGATTCGGTAAAATTGTTCCCGCGGTGTACGAGTAAAATTGCCCTCTCATTATTCCCGCGAAATCCCAGCTCCTTCCGCAATTTGAAAATCACAGGAAAACTTTGTTCCAAATACGCAATTAGACGGATCTGCCGGTGGAATTTAATTAGAACTCGTTCCTTTGGCTGCGCCTGAGACTGCACGCAGTAAGCGAGAGTTATAAGAGCGCATCATTTTCACGCTGCATCATGTAAAACGCTACCAAGTGAAAGTACACGCACTAAATTCGTTCTAGGACAAGCTCGTTCGCTTCTATGCTAGTATTACGATCCCGCCCTTGGCGGTAAGCCAGCCATTACAAGAAAGAGGATCAAAGGTGTTGAAAAACGAGCGCGTGCACGTAACTCATAACGTATTATATACAGTGCACGTGAAATGCGCGAACGCGAGATGTTTCAAGCGTATTGTTAGGTCAGCAAAATTTCACGAGCATTTAAAAAAACGATCGTTTAGCTTATTGTTAGATTTACGTCAAAATACGTGCTACACAAAATAATTAAACCAAATATGAAATAAACCGTGAAAGACTGAATACGTTGATTCAATTGACATGTGGAATAACGTTAAATTAATCGTTAAATTAATTAAACGTCAAATATTCAACGTTATTATTGATAAACTATTAAGAATACTCTTAAAAGTCGCCAGCAGTAATTAACAACATCGATGATTTTTATTGGCCGTATCTGGCAATTAAAATTCTTATTGCGAAAAATATTACCCCAGCCAGGATATTTTTCAATAAAAATCATTGACGTTGTTATTATTGATATTAATACAAAATATATAGTGGCCATATATACAAGTAGCAGTTCTTTGCCAGAAATACATTGCTAGTTCTACTATTATTTCCTCTTCCTACTAGGAAGTGCTCTCCTTTCCCCTTCGTTAGACATATGTAACGGGAAATATACAGGCGAATATTTCCAATGCATTGTGATGTCAGTAATCATATTGGTTGTTTAGTGACGTTTTGTGAAAGGGGTAATTCCAATTCAAGAAAGTGGAAAACACTGTAAAAGGATATTTTCGATTGTCACGGCTGGACAGTTGTCGAAGTACGGTGCAAAATACTGTACACTCTCTCTAACAGAAATAAAAGAAAAGTTAACAATGTGTGTGTGTGACGATTTTAAAACACAGTTTAAAGTAGTAACGAAAATTATTTATAAAATTGTTGTAAGATTTTATTGATTTGATAAATTTTAATAAGCTTCAAATATTCGAGAAATTAGAGAATTTGAAATGCTGATTACTATAATTTGATCAATCTAATACATATTGTATTAATTTATAATATTTGCTTCTCTGTTTACAAACAATCTACATCTATATTTAATTTTCTATTATCAATAATTTTATTGTAATAATTAAGGAAAAAGACAAACAGTACGTAAATCGAAATATAATTTCGCGTTTGCATTGAATAAATGAAGAACAGCTAAGAACAAAAAAGAAAAAATCTTACTGGAAAGAAGAAGAGATGAAAAAAATGCTGTAAATATTTTTTTCTTAATGTAATAAGATTAAGCCTTACAGAGTCTAAGCTGTAGAAACTTTGGAATAACGTGCTAATCGAGATATCACGGCAGATTTCTTGTACTAAAGATCAATTAAAGTTTCTTGAAATAAAATGGTTTGCTCTACTTTTTGCTAAAAGGATTTGCCGTTTCTTTCAAAGAAAATTAATAAAAGAGAGCAGAAAATTACACACTTCGATCACGTTACGCCATGATTGTACCATTTTTGTACTATAGGCACACATATATGCACGCACACATGTAAATCCGGTAACCACTTGTGAAATCGCGAAGGGAGTGACACAATTGTAGCTTTCTGCATGCCATTCGTGCGCTCTAAATCCGTTCTGACTACGCCTGTAATAAACCTAAATCAACATAGGCGTATGCTTATCTATTGGAAAACCATATTCGTTTATGTAGATGATTTAGTTCTATAATAATTTTTGAAATATAATGCGCAACGTCGCGCAAATAAACGAAATATTTTGGCCTTTATTTAATTCAGCGCGAATTTGATTAAACTTTAAAAGTTGAAACCCAATTATCACCGTGCATGATGTTAGAAACTTGACAAGTTTGCGAAGAAATGAGCAAGCACGACGCCCAAATAAAGCCACGGATTAAAAGTTTGCGGAAAAAGTGAGTATAATTAGAAATTAACATAAATATTACGTATATCCCTCGCCGCGACATAGTTCCTTGGTTCTTGCGCGGAAAATTTGTTTCTTCACAATTGCATTATATTTTGCATCACGGCAATTAAAAGTGTAACTTATGGATGTAATGTAGGATATGATGTTAAAATGATTGCTTGCTGATATACCATTAGCATCCTACGATTTGACGCGTGAGCCACGGGATAAATCCAACGCTTACGAAATTACAGCCTATGGTGCACCGGAATTGCACGCGGCAACGTTATGAAATTTTCACTAATAGTTTGCATAACCAGTCCAGATTATTAGCACCACTTTCTCGCGATTCATGTAAAAAAGTGTTGTTTGGAAAACATCGTTAAATGTTGCCGCGTATGATTCCAAACCGACTGGACCCCGATACTAATCAGGGATGCTCAATTCCACGTGCAGCGCAGTTCGTAAATTAGATCAGTCCACGTTCCACCGTCTTAATTGCATAATTGGTTGTTTTCAATTCCTTCTGTTTCCTACATTATGTAAGCATACGTTACACTTTAATGCGTACTTAAATTTTTTAAGCGCACTTTAAAAACCGGTATTTGATTAGTAATAATAATAATATAGCATTACTTGAGACGGTAATGGCACTTCTTACACTTTTCCCAGCAATATAACGTTTTTCCTTTTGCAATACCATCAATATGTAATATAGATTATATATTAGATTTTTTCTCTGTAACTTGATGTACAAAAACTCTTGAAGAGAATGTTGTAACGTGTAAAACTTGTAAAAATAATTTATAGACCTCTAATAGAGTCTTTCATATACCGTTTCGTGTAACTCTTTCCACAATTTTAATAAATCGAAGAATCGGGAGTAATAAAAGCTGAAGTGAGTTTAAACAAGTAATTTTAAGATTAATCAAACTCGCAATTAAAAAAGAATCATAATTGAAATGTTTTAGCGGAAATAATTTAAATTATATCCAACAATAAAGTTTATAAGGCTCTGAAATCACAATTCGAAGGAATAAAGAATATAAGAGCCGAGACAGGATGTTGGTGTCTAAATGATTTAAATTTTTAAATTCATTGAATTGTTAAATTTAAAGAAAATTAAAACTTTTTTAATCACTTCAGTCAACATGAACCGCAATGTTCTTACTCGGCACTAATGCAGCATACGAGAATTACGAATAATTCTTTATTTGTATTTCGAAAGAGGTAAGTTGGGCTAGAAGATCTTGGAAGTCGTCAGAGGAGAGTCCTCGCAGGAACGACGTTACTCTTGTTATCCATTACGTAACATGTGAACGATCTAAAGCCTGCCGGACACGCCGGTTCACCAACAAACGATCGGACGGCCCGGGGCAAGGCCGCAGACCTGTCTCGCCACGGGCTAGAATCTCGTGAATGAACTGTTACATGGTGTTTGCGGATTTCATTCGCTGCAGCTGTTATCTCTGCGCGCATCTCTCTTCCGTGTGAGAGCTAATCGATCTCGTCCGTTAATTTGTCTGCGTATTTAACAGCTTGTTGCAATTAACACACGTGAACATGCGTCAAAGGAGAACGTTGCGGTACGAGAACGGGCAATTATCATAGGATAAGTCGAATTGTAAGAATAGTTTCTCCCTCTCTAAATAAACGCACTTGGGATTTCTCGTTTCTAAATAATTATTCGATTCATTGTGTTAATTGAAATGACTCATCTGCTAAAATGTTTAAACGGTGACTCACGAAAGTTCGAAATCGAGGGTAATTGTAGCGGATGCATTTTAACAGCCATTACATCGCGCTTGCTTTAAAATTCTGTCTAATTAACGTGAATCAGGGCGATTCCTTTTCTTCCGCATCTTTAATTGCGACGAGAATTATTAGGCAGATGCCCAGGAGCGAGTCGAGCGTATGGACGTAGGAAAGCACACTTTACTTTATAACCGAACGCGCAAGGTTCCGGAAATAAGAACGTAGAAAGTCGAGTCGGAATAGTTGGAGATACATATATATTTTTGCTTTTACGTCGAAACGATGTAAACAAGATTCTCATTTATTGCCTCCGACGCAATGCTATCTACGCGGGCGATGAACCTGAAATGGGGTCTGTGATTCCTTAACGCGACGATAAGATGTTGAAACCTGATACAATGGGAAAGTTAGTTTAGAGCGAAACGTCGCATTGAGAAAATGTGATCTGTGTAAAAATTAATTGAATCCGTGCATTTAAATGACACGTAACGTTGACGACTAATATGAAGCTGCGTGAACGTCAATAAAGCTCCAAATTCCCCCATAAAGACGTATGGAAAATGTTAGCGAATCGCTCCCTGTTGCTCACAAAAGTTTAAGATCCCACTAAGATCTAACCGCACGATCTCACTGATCTCGAACGCAACACTCTCGAGCACTCGCGACCGCGCGACGTATCGCGCCGCGAAAATAGCGAGGACCCTCGGGAGGGACCGTGTCGCCCTCCGGTCTCCTCCCGTAGCTCGTACGGTATCACAGGACACGTCAGGTACTTACGATCCTCATCTCTCTTTTCTCTGGATCTCCCCCGAAACTGCGGCGAGTCGGTACGAGCGCGTTCTCCGCGTTTCCCCGTGAGCCGTGCACAGGTCGGCCGCCAACTGCAGTTGCACTCTCGTTAAGCGGCGAGTCTAGGAGTAGCGCGCAACGGTGGTGTGCCACCTGCCACGCGGGGGTACGTTCTCGGAGTCGCGGGCTCGCGGATGGTAGGGGGCTCCGGAAGAAACGCCTACTGCGGATCGTCCAGAGTAGCGGAGTAGTTTCCCCGGTGGTGACGGCGGATCCTAGGTGCCGGAGGCTCTCGCAGCTGCTGCCTGTCTTGGCAGCAGAGGACCGTTTGACTCCCGGTGGGGGCCGATCCTGGGACTTATATATGTCGACGCTGGAGGCCATCCGCGTCTGTCCCCCTGTTCCCCCCCCTCGTGCGCCCCCGCCCGAATCATTACCCTCCTGAGGGGCGCGAGCGATGGTCAAGGTGACCTTCGCTCCACCGCGGGGGATACCGCGGCCAGGAAATCGTGCGAGAGCAGCTTCGCGAGAAAGGCGAACGCAGCCGCGGATCGCCGGGCGATCGATTCGACATTTTACTTTTTCTTTTTTTTTTCATCGCCGTGAGTCACGACGAGGAAGCAGGAAGGATGCCTTCGAGTGGCAACGAAAGTATTCCTATGTACCAATCCATCGAAATTGAGCCGAGGAGGATTTCTTACGTAACCCGATTATTTTTATGCCCGACAAATACGCAACGCCAACGAAGATATGGTAACTCTGTTACGAAAATTAGATTGTACGTGTGTTAAACAGAAGCGCTTGAAATATGGAAAGATCTTAAATTGTTTGTAATATTATTTGAAAGGAAGTCTTGGTTTTTTCAAAGTCTTGAAATTCTTGAGTACACGAGTATACTCAAGCGGCGTTTGACACAATTTTTAATATATTATTGTAAAAGCTTGGAAAAGATTTTCAATGTCCCTCATTTTATACATAGACAAAAATTTTATTTTTAACTATTTTGCACTTTGAAGAGCAATCTTCAAGACGTTCACGACTTTTTCAAATTGCAAATTTCAAGAATTTTTAAGCAATTCGAATCTTTATACAACATATAATCGCTGGGAAACTTTGAAAAGGAAACTTCGAACACCCGTGCCTGCATATGCATGAAAAAAAAGAGAGAAAAGGAGAGAAAAAGAGAGAGAGAGAGAGAGAGAGAGAGAGAAGAAGAAGGAAGGGAGTCGCTCGGTGATATATTGTGAAACGAGAACGAAGGAGGAAATAAGAATGCAAATTATGATTGATCTCGGCTGAGTCACACTACTTTTTTTTTGCGATATAAAGAACTTTTCTCCCGCCGCTCAATCACAGAGACGGCAAATTATCCGGCGTAATCTTCTGTGGCAAAATAATGCATGCGAGTACTTAATGTATATTCCAGGCCTAACGTCTCAATGCCTATCGCATCATGCTCTCGATCGGAATCCGGATCTCTATTCCGTGAGTGTGGCATTATGACGTCAGCCGGTGTTGCAGAACGTTGTCTCGCCATGCAAATATCTTATCTCGAACGCCCGCTCTTTAAAGCGATTGATTAGAGGCATGTTTCTAATGTCAAAATTCCAAAATCGTTGTCTTCATCGGAGCGTGACACTCTTTCGATCATTAATTTCCAGCTGTTAAACTGCGCCCGATACAATTATGAGACCTACGAGAGGTACAAATATATCTCCGTAGGAGAGAAACGCTAAGGAATAGAAGCCTTATTTGGATGAGGATTGATTGTTGAGCTTAAGGTAGTTGTTTCGCGACAGTAATGCTCAAAAGTTTCTTCCAGACAGGAACCAGCACTCAATTATTACAATGATATAT